AATTTCTTTCTAATTTTAGTAGAGACGGGGTCTCGCTGTTGCTCAGGCTGGTCTCGAACTCCTGAGCTCAAACAATCCGCCCGCCTCAGCCTCCCAGAGTGCTAGGATTACAGGCGTGAGCCACCGCGCCCGGCCCAAGCATGGAGTTTTATATAAAGGAATCCTCCACCACTGAAGCTTACCACTTGGAGCATTGAAACCTTTTACATTTTAAAGCACTTAGGCAGAAGCCTTTCAAAAAGGTGTGCTTTCTAAACTATATTTTATCCAGCTACACTTTCTTCAATAGGGTTTGCCCAACAAGTCCAAGAGGTAGTGCTGTCACCTGGAAAGCACCTGGTCTCAAAAGTCAGACAGGTTTGGGCTTCAGGTTCAGCTCCACCCTTTATTCACTGTGTCTCTTAACCCATCTGGGTCTTAGTTTCATCAGTTCTAAAACTGGAGGATGACAAATAATGAGACCTACTTGATGAGGGTGTCCCGAGGATTGATGGCAATAATAGCTACCATTTATTGAGCACTCACTATGTCCAGACACTACACGTCTAAACACTGCATGTATGAACTCCTTGCATGAGATCATGTGTGTGGAACACTTAGCATGTGCCTAGGACTCAGTGCATGCTCAGTAAATACTGGCTGGTACCATCGTCGTTACCGCGCCTGATACTCCAAAGTGGTAACTATTGAGTCGTTTCTTGAAGTCACAATGGGAGCTTTTGTGGTTTCAGCCAGATTACAAAGGATGTGAGCCTGGAAACTGGAGGGTGGCAGGGGCACAGAGAGCAGAGTAGGAAGGACTCCAGGCAGACTGGGAACCCAGGCCGGAACAGGGAAGAGCTGGCCGACAGGAGGCTCTGGCTGCAAGTGCTCTGACAGGTGAGTTGTGCAAGTTGTCAAATGCTGAGCCGAGCCGGAGATCGCTGAGCTGCTGGGTGTCCCAGCAGTCCATAAAGACAACAAGCCAAAACAAAAGTAACAGTCACAACTGTGATCGCTCACTGCCACAGTGGAAGCAAGAGGAGAAAATGCCAGCTGTCCCAGAGTTCCATCTTTTCCCCACGGACAGTGGCAGGAGAGGGCCAGAGGTATTGCAGATGGGGAAATCATCTCACTGCTGAGGGACTCCTCAGCAAAAAAAGAAAAAGAAAAGCTCCTGCTAAGTTTTATGGACTTTGGGAAGTGGGGTGGGGGGACAAGACGGGTAAGAGCTGGGAGTGGAAAAGTACTAAGAATAAAGTGTCTTCAAGATTCCCTCTGCTCCAGCCAGGAGGTCCTGGCAGACCCACTTGGGGAAGGCTTGGATGAGGGCCCCAGTACAGAGGCTGCCGCACAGGGGCTCCTGCGCCGGGGCTGCAGATGTGTGTGAGAGCATAGCCAGCCGGCCTGACTCCTGACTGCAGCTCACCAGCTGTGTCCCAAGTCTGGTGCAGGGAGGGCAGCTCCACCCCCTTCCCACCTCCACCCCCCATGAAGGCCAGGTAAAGCCTTTGTAATCACTTACGGTTGGGCCTGAAAGAGCACACACAAGCTTGTGCCCAAGAGTTGGACCCTCACGAGTAATAAGTGCTGGGTCTTTAGAGCCAGCCCATCATCTCTTACTGACTGTGCTCTGGGATGGGATTATTTAATTTCTCCAAGCCTTAACCCAATGCCTGGCACATGGTAGGTGCTCAATAACAGCAGGGGCTTGTTTCCATCCTCTTTTGCTGTGTATCAAACAACTACAGAACTTAGTGGTTTAAAATGGCTGTCTCCTGGTAGGAACGGGGCCACACACCAGGAGGTGAGCACGGGAGCAGCCGCTCCCCATCTCTTGCATCACCGCCTGAGCTCCGCCTCCCCCCACCAACCGTCCATGGGAAAATTGTCTTCCATGAAACCAGTTGCTTGTACCAAAAATGTTGGGGACTGCTGGTTTAAAACACTGATCATTTATTTGCTCATGATTTTGCAATTTGGGCTGGGCTCAGAGGGAACAGCTTGTCTCTGTTTTTCAAATTGTCAGCTGCGTCAGCTCCACTGGACCTGGGGATCCACTTTCCTGTCTTGCTTGGAAATCTCCCTCAAAAGCCTTCCTAACCCTTGGAGAAATTCTAGACAATCATTTGAAGCCCTCGGAGGGTGACAAGGGAGTAGCCACTGGAAGGAACAGGCAGGGACGAGGCCAGCCCTTTAGGATGGAGCTGTGCTGATGAAGTAAACTTGGTGTGGATGTTTGCAGAGGGGGATGTGGTTCTCAAAGTGGCCTGCGCAGGGGTGGAGGCCGAGGGCCCGTGCTGGAGTGTGCTGGTTCCGCCCCACCTCTTTCTCTGGCCAGCTCCCGGGCAGCCTTTAGGGCTCAGCTTGGCTGTCACTTCCTCGAGGCCTTGCCTGAGCTGCTCCACAGGCTCAGACTAGCTGTCCCCGGCTGTGACTCCCACGGCTCCCGTACGTCTTCTCCCTGACTCATCCCACACGGAGTTGCTTGTTTTCCAACTGATTCCTTCACTGGGAGCTCCTTGGCTCCAGAGACCTCGTCTACCTTGCTCCCGGCTGTAGCTGAACTCGGAGAGGCAGCTCCATTCCCAGCTGCTCAAGCTGCACACCCAGGTGACATCCTCGGTCCCACGCCCTGCCTCACACCTCACATCTCCCGATATCCTCAACCCACTGTGCTCTCCCGCTGCCCCCCCATTCTCCCGCACCCGTGTGACCCACAGCGGCCCCTCCCTGGCCTCCACACCCTTCTGAGGCGAGTCCAACGAGGCCACTCCTGGCTGCACCCCTTCAATAGCTTCCCTTCACCCTCAGGATGAGGCATGAGCTCCGTAATGTGGGCCACAAGGGCCTGGCGTGACCTGAGGCTGTCCCTTGTACTCTGTAGTCCAGCCGCGCCGGAGTTTACTTCCTTAGGGTGCTGGGCTCTTTTTCTATCCCCCAAGCCTTTGCCTTTGCTGATCGTCCTGCTCAGAATAACTTTCTCCCTCGTCACTGTCCTAACTCCAAGTCCACCTTTCACATCCGGCTTGGGCGACACTGCCTAGAGGGAGCCTTCTTGGGTCACACCCTGTGTTTCCTCTCTCTCAGGTTTGTGCACACACATGTAAACACATGTTTCAGCGTCTCCGTCCTGCTATAGGAGGGTTTCTCAATCCCAGCACGATTAACGCTTTGGGCCGGAGAACTGTCATGGGGCTGCCCCGTGCGCTGCAGGATGCTTAACAGCGTCCCTGGTCTTGACGCACTACATGCCAGCAGCACCCCTGGCCCCAAGTTGTGACAATCAGAATGTATTCAGACATTGACAAATGTACCCTGGGGGGCAAAACTGCACCAGTTTTGCCATGTGTCCCGCAGCGACAACATCTGTCTTATTCATAGTTA